AGAAGTTATCTCAGGACACTATTCAAATAGAGTAGGTCACGTGTCCACAGTCGGGGCCAGTTGTTGTTGATAGTCGGCACACATACACTGTGTGGTGTTCAGGAATTCTGATCATGAGCCTTCTGATCAAGTCGCTGCTTGTCGTTCACAACACTCAACAGTCAATTGTGTTTGACTTTTCAAACAATAATAATTTGAAGACATTACAATAAAATGGAAAAATAGTGCAGCATGCCATGACTGAGAGAGTACCGTGTTATTATCCATATTTCAGTGTAGAACCACAGCTTAGCTGAAGTTCACATAGAGTTTACAGTCCTTGTTACTTGTCTCTCCATACACAATTTTTTGGCTTTTTGTTTGCACACTGCAGCCTACAATTTGGGATATTGGATTTAGGAGGTCTATATTATGCACCACAAAGCCTAAACTGTGATTGTTCTGCCTTTGTGATGAATCTTATGGGTATGTTTGTTGCATGAGTGGGTTGGAGGAGGGTATTTTTTATTTAGGGAGAATGGTTAGTTACTAAATGTATGTATTTTTCTGCTGCTTCTGAGTTTTGATGGCACCTCTGACCAAATGAATTATCTTTTTTGGAAAATCAAGATTGATTGATTGAGATTTGATTTGTCCTACAATCTAAACCCAAGAAAATTTGTATTTTCAGCTTCCTACATCCCAAACACACTCCAAATTATACAGTACAATAACCCTACACCCTACAGTGTACCGTCTGTATATACCCCGACATTACACCATAATACATTTTAGAGCATATGAGCTATTATATAGATATTTTGAATTACTGATATTTATTTGGTTTAAACATAGAAGAGTAACAGAAACATTTTCTGGTGCTTCAGGCTGTGTGCCTCATAGTTTTCGGATCAAAAATTGACCCATTTTTCTCACCTAGAAAACGCTGCAAATAGTCTCCCTTCGGACAGCAGAAGCACCACAAATCACTTACAGAGTCCCACAGGAGCAGTGAGCACAGTCGAGCTTTAATTTGACAACCGAACACACACACAAAGAGGTTTTTTTCTCCTTTTTCTTGTTTAATAACTGGAAGCTTGGACACAGTTGGTTACTATGCGGCTAAATGTGTCACACACACACACACACACACTGCTCTGAAGTCTTTGTTATAAATGTGTGTTTGTAGTGTCGGATGGGGAAGGTAGCTGCTACTGCCTGGAGACGCCTGGATACACACATACAAACACTGCTGGAGAGAGAGAAAGAAAAGCAAACACGACAGAGCGTTTCAATTAACTTTTCTCAATGATTGATCCATTTATGACAGTGATGTGTTTTGTACGTGTGTGTGTGTGTGTGTGTGTGTGTGTGTGTGATTTTTTTTGTGTAATTTTGCGGTTGACGCAGAAAATGTGCAGATACAAAGACACACTCTTACTTTTCCTCTGAGCACAGAGAGAGTAAAATGGATGAGAGCCATGAAAAATACAAGTAATTACAGAAGGAAGGTGTAGATGAACAGGTGGATGTGTGTGTGTGTGTGTGTGTGTGTGTGTGTGTGTGTGAGTAAGGGACAGTGATAAAGAGAAAGTATGAAAGTGATAAATGGTAAAGTAAAGCGTGTGTGTGTGTTTGTCCTGATTATTTGCTGTTTGCCTTTTTGGCAATTTCACACTCTGGCTCCCATCAGGGAATGTCGAGATGGACTTGGCATGTTCGATCAATCAGCACACACACACACACACATAAAGCGACACACATAGTGCAGAGCCATTAGCACTTCCTCCAGCAGGAGTGATTTCTTTTCCTCCTGCTGTGTTGATGGACTCTATAAAGGCTGATGTCCCTCGGCAACACACACACATACACACACATTGGGCTGCCTTTTGTTTGTGTAGATATTTCTCTTTTTGGCCAAATTGCGTTCTGTAATTCAATCACACTTCTTCTACATTCCTCCCTCCACATATCCACCTCTTCTCCTCCCATCAGATTCTGTCTTTTGTTCATCTTTGATATTCGAGCGTTTTGGTTGTTAAGAGAGCAGATTGGCTTAAAGGGACATTTCACCCGTGGAAACATTAATATTTATTGAAAGTTGGTTATATATGTAGTCGAAATGTAACATAAATTTTGAATTTGGTGCCTATTTGACCGTGAGAGAAAAGACAGAAAGTGACTGTAGGGCATTGTTAAAGACACCAATCCCACAATGCATCTAAAACTATCAAGACTCCAACAACGTAATGTAAAATCATTTATTTCAGAATATATCAAAACAACAAAAATAATATGTTAAACAACTGACAGTATAGTTCCTCCTAGAGCGTCCTCAACGTCTGTCCGCATCTGCATCTGGAGCTGGATATTTCTGTGGATAGCCTGCCACACAAGCGGGTAAAACGACACGATAGCCTCGACCAATCTCTGCTTGCAGGACCATTCAGAAAGGTGTTAGGCGATATCTGTCTAAAGCATTGAGCACGTTAGCGATGCATGTTTTGTGTTTGCGTGCCACAGTAAGTTACAATTGCGTTGCAAGTGTTTGTGCAGTAAAGAGTAGTTCAGGTTGCTGACGTTACTATTACCGGGAATAACTTTGTGATAATGCTTGAACAAATTGTATAATAACTCACGTTTTATAAGGAAAGAACATAGAAAACACTCATATACAGCACACCAGTCCCCAGCTCGACCGCCGGTGTCGTCTGCGACAGGCGGTCTCATGCCTCGGCGCAGAACCAGTGCTCTTCGCTATTATGCTCATTAAAGGTAGCAGATCTGATTCACCGTCCCTTTCAAAATTTTTATAATAATTTACCTAGTAACGTCTGGATCGACAGCGCCTCCGCTTAGCTCCAAAAAAATGATGCGTTATATTTTTTAGTTTCTGCAGGTGAGTCCCACACTGATAGTGATAGGTCTGTACGGATTGAAAAAATTAGGAAGTAGTGTTTGTAGTCTGACCCTCTACAGAGATATGAGCTTCCTGTTCCAATGACGCAATAATACGATTTTACATCATGAGCAGGAGTGCAACATGAAATCCTATTTCCCCTTCGGAATGATGCACGACCATTCAAAAATATGACTGGGCTTCTAATGATAGAAAGCTTAATGCAAATGGGCGAAGTGTCCCTTTAAAGTGTAACTAAAATTCTGCTAGCTCCCTCCCTTCCTACAAATCCTTTAAAAATGCAGCAGAGAGAGTCCTTTGGGGGGCGTGGCCTTGGTTGACAGACTGTCACTGCTCAGTGTAGCAGGAATACAGCAGCTGCTAGTCAGCGCTAACTGAGCTAACCAGCCATGAGCATGAGCTGCTCTCAGACTTTCTGTTACCACACACACACACACACACACACACACAGAGTCCGCTGGAGCTTTGACAGTCACTAGAAACACATTCACGACCGTTTGTAGAAGTTTCTGTGTGGTATATGTGTTGTAACTTTAGCAAAGCTAGCGGCTCAGAGAGGATAATTCTGTGTGTTCCTGCAGAGGGAGCAGGTCTTCCTCTAAGGAGGCCACCAACTTAAACCGCCATGTTTGTACACTAGCCCAGAGCAGAAAAACCAACACTGGCTCCATTTAGAGTCTTTAGCGAGTTTCGCAGCCATACGCACCTGGAAGGCTGAGCTGTATTCAAGTGTTTTACTGCTATATGCCACTAAATCCTACCCACTGGTCCTTTAAGAACTTCAGGAATTCAAATCATTCATATCCTTTTCGATATTTATGTGACATACGTTACATGAACCCCCATAAAAACCAAAAAATCTAAACACAGACCCGAACAAACCCAGTCTGAACGGGCCCTTGAGGAAATGGAGTCCAGAAGAACACTCACACTACTCCTGTTTATTTATAGCCCATTAGTAGCTCATCTGTTACCTGATCCAACTCTGAACCAGTTGGCAAAACCTCTGATTAAAACAAATTGACTCTTAACTGGGACATTCAACACTTCATCATCACCCAGTTTGCCTCAGCCTTCTGGGAGTCTGTTTGAATGCTGCAGTTTTCTTCCTCCATAAGCTTCTGATGAAGGTTTCATGAAGCTCAACCCAGCATGCATAGTAAGATCCTATTTAATATAGAGCACTATAAAGCTCACCTGTGGGAACTGTTTTGAAGTGATACCAGAACAGAAAGACGTCTAGGTCTGGATTTCACAAAATGGTGCAACTAGAGTTGAGATTTCCCTGATTTCATCATACATTCTTAGGGCTTCACTCTTGGTGCAGGCTGTCATATCAACACCTGTTCAACTTTAGAACGCTTCCAGTGGTTATTTTCTCTCTGATTAATCATCATGAACACAGCTTTTGCCTCAGTCTTTGCTTGATTTCCTGTCCACTTGTCTTCCTCCCATATGCATCTATCTTGTTGCTTCATCCCCTTCCTTTTCTTGATTAACTAGACTGTCATTTCTCTGTCTCTCCAGTCTTTTGTCGGCTGTGTGCGGTTGTGTGAAGGGTTTGCTCCACACCCAGTAACAGTCTTTTGTGTGTTTTGATGATACCCAGAGGCTGCTTGGATGTGTGTGGGTGTGTGTGTACCAGGGTGCCCCCTCCCAGCACCTCCCTTTAGCCCAGGGGAACCCAAGAATTATGGGAGTGTAGCTTAATGTCTCTCACACACACATATACTCACCTTGACCTGGAGGTGAACTGTGTGGTTAGCCAGTCGAAACAGAGCTTCACCCAGGTGTGCTTTTGACCGTGGATTGATGGGATTTACTCCTTCAGACAAACAACTTGGCAGACTACTGCTACTACCTGTCAACTTTAAGATGTAAACAAGGTAAT